AAAAAGCCTGTGACTCCTGATATTCCTTGAGGTCTAAGTACTGACCAGCTCAAAAACTGCTTAGCTTCAGATCTGAAAAACGTGGGCTTAAAAAGGCGTACATTGAAGCCAAGTGAGAAATGACATTAAAGACAAGGTGGAAGGGACAGTTAGCAGTGCCTAATGTTATAGAAAGGTCTGGTAGGATGAGGATTTAAAAGGGGCCTTTGAATTTGACAATTACTAGATGAATGGTGTTTTTTAAGGCCTCTACTCTAATGTCTCTTATCGAAACAGCTTTCCCTGATCCTACTCTCTTCCTAAGCACACATACAAATAGCATCATGACTGTCCTTCCTTTGCTCTATTTTTTAAAATATATTTTTATTGATTTCAGAGAGGAAGGGAGAGGCAGAGAGAGACAGAAATATCATTGATGAGAGAGAATCATTGATTGGCTGCCTTCTGCACTCCCCTTATTGGGGATTGAGCCCACAACCCAGGCATGTGCTCTGACCAGGAGTTGAACCTGGGACCCGTCAGTCTGCAGGTCAACACTATCCACCAAGCCAAACCAGCTAGAGCTGCTTTACTAGTATTTTTTCTATGTTGTACTTATCCCCACCTTACATTTCATACATTTAATTGTTTTCATTTATGCTTTTCTATTAGAAGAGTAGAAGCTTCATGAAATCTGGGTCTTCTTCCCCCCCCATCACCGTTTGCCAACCGCCTAGAACAGTTCCCACCTTATAGGTGCTCAATAAGTATGTCCTTGTTGAATCAACAAATGGATCTATTTTACTACAGTGATTAGACCTAATAAAGTTATGTAGGAAGTGAATGAGAGGTAGTAAGGAGGAAGGAACTAGTCAGTAAATGTGTTTCCAGAAATGTGCTGCTCTGGACATTGGTTCTAAATAGCTCTGGGAGATATTTCAGAGGGGAAAATGATTTCTGTTGGGGAAATAACAGCATACTAAGTCCTTTTTTTTTTTTTTTTTTTTTTTTTTTTTTTTTTTTTTTTTTTTTTTTAAGGCTGAGAAAGTTCTGTTCTAAGAAAACCCATTTGTTTCATAAATTTTCCAAACATTAGACCAGGGAGCAAGGAATATGAGGGTGACTGGTCAAAGTGGTGGACATGACTGACTAATCAAGTTCAGACTATAGTTAGAAAGGCACATGCAGCCCAAGTCAGGATATCAAGAACAGATGGAGACAGTGTTTCAGAGAGCAGTAGGTGTGTGATTGGAGGGAGCGTGAGTATTTTGAGAGTCCAGAGGAGGACCCTTCGTGCTTTTGCTGAAAGTGGAATGGAGGTGAAGGGTATGGGATGAGTAGGTTAAGTGGGAATATGGAATCTAGGATGAGTTGAAAAAGGGAAATCCTGAGAGGTAGTGAAGATTGTCAAACTGGAAGTAATACAGAGGTTGTAACAAAGTTGATATAACAGGTGCCAGGGCCTCAAAGCGGGGCGGCTTGCTGAGTTTTAAAGGCTGGATTCAGAGGGTGAAGAAGCAGACGTGCCACAGAGACCAATGCTGTTCTTCGGGTCCAGGACTTGTTTTCTCTTGCAAATGCTCTCTCCTGGTTTTAAAGCTTATACATTTTAGAATTTCATAACTATTTTAGATAACAGCATATTCTTTCACATCACCTATATAACATGTAAAGATGCCATTTCAAACCTTATTGTCATGCATGTTTTGAAGTTGCTTAGTAAAGCAACTCAGAATCAGTAATGTGTGTAGGATCAATTTTGTGAGGCGAGGTTGGCTTCTTGAGTGTTTTAGAATATTAAAGTACTTTATATGCTTGGTTCTGTCCATCAGTTTGAGTGCCTTTTTTGTACACTGTTAGCTCTCTGCTATAATAATCCTGAAGGTTATCTCTACTGTATTTTTATAAGCTGTAAAATTTGCTAGCTTTTGTTATTTAAGAGAGACTAGTGGAGTTTGCCTGGAGTAGTATTTTTTTATTTCATTGATTGTGAAGCATTTTTATATATAACAACTCAGTTGATCCTTTTTAAACTTTAAGGTAGATTGAACAGGTATTATATCCTAATTAAACTGAGGCTGCCTGTACGATTAATACCTTATAAGGTTATTCCCTAAGACCAGCTAATATAAGGAAATTATAAATTTATATCTTTATATTGAATGAAGTAATTCTATTTTTTCTTTTTTGAGATAATTGTTTTAAGTTCTTTTTCTTTAATGCTATAGCTTTTTAAAAAAATTTCTTTTAGTGATAATAATTTTCATTTTCTTTAATAACAATTTGAACATGTTTGATAATTTGTAAGAATTAATCCCAGGAGTTGGATTTTATTATATTGTAGTTTTCTGGTTGTTGTTAAGCTTTAAGTTTTTGAATTTTAAAAAAAGGAACATGATTTGGTGTTTAGACATACGAGGACATTAAGTCGTGTGGACTGTTAGCTTTGTGGGAGCAGTGAGGCTGCCATTCCAGCCTGTGTCACTAGGACTTGGTACTGAGTAGGCACATCATTTCCAGATGTTGAATTGATTTTTCTCAATAATTAGTTTTTATAAGATTTTGCTTTGTCATTTATTCAACAAGCAGATACTGAAATGCACTTTGAAGCAAGTAAAATATGTGATACTTTTTAACATTTAGGTTTGATGAAGGAATACATGAAGACCATAAGTAAGCAAGCTAAAGAGATTAATGTAGCATATGGTATCATTTTGACCCTCATTGAGAAGACATTTTTATTTTAATATACCTAATGTATTTTATCTGGCAACCTGAATTAAGTGATCCAGATAAATGGGGTTGCTTTCCCTAAATAACCTGGCTTCTGGTATTGGAGAAGGACAAATCAGGCAGATCTTAGCTTTGCTTTTGTGTTGTCCACTGCTTACCTGCCACCATAGACATTGCCTCTATCTGAGGTGATAGTCACTATCTGCTACTAAAATAGGGCAGTGGACTGTGAGGAGAAGAGAGAACAAACCAGTTCCTCTGTCACTGTTTGATTGTGTTCCCACCAGTGTCTCTTGATTCTCCTGATTCGTTTTCATGAACCCACTAAATAAATCATATGAAGAACAAATTATATGAGTTCATAATTGTACTTTATGCATGAGTTTATTTATGTTACTTCTTTGTCTGATATATGACTAGTGGCCTGGTGCACAAATTTGAGAACATCGAAAGGAAATTAATTAGAAGAAATATTTTAATATCGCTGTTCGCCCTTCTCTATAATAAAAGTGTCAATCAAATTCACAATCGACAATGATAGGTTGCAACACACACGTGCAATAGGCACCAGCGAGAGCTTTATATGTATTGCACATGTGCGAGTCAACTTAGCCCTTTTATAGATATATATAGATACAGAATAAACTTGCTTAATTAGACCTGCTTTCTGATTTAGCTCAGCTTTTTCCAGCCCAGAGAAGCATCACCCCAACTTCTCTTTCAGGTAATTGTTAGCAACACAGCAGGGAATATCAACACGAAGCACATTATTACTGTAGATCATGCAAGGAGAACAAAGGGTAAAATATCTAACTGCAGTAGTTTGACTATATTCCACACAGTGGGAAAACCTGAAGTAATTTTCAAAGCCCACCATTTCTTCTTATTAGTCGGGTCAAGTTTCTAAGCTTTCTAAATCTCCCATCTTCCGGAAAATAGAATTCCACCGAGTCTCCTATCTACCTATTCTAGGACTTTTGTGAGGATCAAATGAGATGAGGCATGGGAAAATGCTTCACAGACATTTAGTTACAGTGTAAAATGTTTCCACCTGGCTATAAAGCAAGTAGTGTTCCTGGGCTGAAGAAACTCCAAGGTGGCTAGTTACTAGGGAGAGGAAGCTGGGTGTTGCTACACGACACCATTACCTGGATGGACTTAGCATATTAGCTTTTTTATACATATAGATAAAAATTATAATAATTAATGCAATATTCATCAGAAAATATGGTAAAGATATAGGTTTAAGTATTTTTAGAAAATTAGAGTTGTGGAAATAAATTTAGATTTGATATTTTGAAAGATAATAAAAATGACAAATTGACTCAGTTATGTAAAATTCCAAAGAATGTAGTTTCTGTTATCATTTTCATATCAAAATTTGTTGCATGAAAGTACATGATATATGTATTAATTTTTTAAAATCCTCATCTGAGGAGATGTTTTTTTATTGATTTTAGAAAGAGTGGAAGGGAGAGAAAGTGAGAAAATTGATGTGAGAGAAATATCGATTGATTGCCTCCCACATGTGCCCCAACAGGGGATCTAACTGTAATCCAGGTATGTGCCCTGACTAGAAATCAAACCTGCAACCCTTTGGTGTATGGAATGGGACAACACTCCAACCAGCTAGGGCTGTATTAATTTTTGACTGAGCAGAAGTTGCAGCAACTTCTGTCTTCTTAATCAGTTTATGTCCATAAGGTCAGATTATCTCAACTTGTTAGACCATTGAATTTTAATATATGTGTAAAATAATGAAAAATTCACATAATATGCCTATTTGCATAGTAACTAGGTGATCTTTTCCTTAAAGCATTATACTTCCTAAGGTGTTAAGCAGAACAAATTTCTTTTTATCCTAGATTATCTCAGAAAACCAGATCATTGTTCACCAATGTTGTTTCTGAATGCTTTGAAGATTAATACTATATAATTTAACCTTCAAATAAATTTGACTTTTAAAGTTGAGTCATTTACAATAGAGCTATCCTATAAATTAAGAGATTATGATAAATTGATTTGGTTAAAAATAAATCAGATACTTCCAACATTTCAGTTTGGTAATCTTTAAATCAGGACTTGGCATGGTCTTATTGACCTCTGATAAACTCTTAAATCTGGTGCTCATTTTAATTGACAATGTTGTTTATTTAAAATGAAACAAGACATTTTTCCCCCCCACAAGCACTGATAACTTATATATAAAGCTAAAAGAAGACATTAAAACTTGGAAGCTTCACAATTTGAACATAAAATACTATTGAGTAAATTCTTTTCTGTTTTAGAAAATGGGAGTGCTCAAGTTGGAGAATTACTACCTTGCAAGATTTGTGGACGAACATTTTTTCCAGTGGCATTAGTGAGTACCCTCTTCCTTTGGGATGTGACAGATCAGTGTGGTTCAGTACTTTTGGACATCTCTCCTAGAAACAGCCTGTGGAATAATTGGATGAGGTACTGGCTAGTGTTCTTTGTTCAAGAGTAGAAGTTTCTTCCATGTCTTCTCGTCCCTTCAGAGTTTGATTGGTCTTCAGAACTTCTCTATTAAAGTATTGAAGTGTTCTTCTCTTTGTGAGGATATTAATAGAAATAAAACAGAAAACTCTTAGAAATGCATAATGTATTAAAGGTATAGAATGACACAGTGTCTGGATTTGTGTTAAACTACTTCAGAAAAAGAGCTGGGATAAATGGAACAAGATTGCTAAAGGCTTTGTAATTGTTGAAGGAGGTGATGAGTAAAAGGGGAGTTCATTACACTGTTTTCTCAGTGATTCTGTACGTTTGAAATAGTCAAAAGAAAATCGTTTTCAATTAAAAGTGTACCCAAAATACATGATACATTCTTTAGATACTTAGTACATACAAATAAAAGCAATTTTAACTGATTTTAATATACAGTAGACATCTAAATAGAGAATGAGAAAAATATGCCTATGTAGTAACTTAGATATCTTTCTTGTACTTTCAAATATAAATATACATCTACTAATATTTTGATGTAAAGACTTTTCTTTGAATATGGATCTGATTAGAATTCTACAATATAGCATTTTCCATCCTCTTAATATTTCCAATTTGTTTCTTTTAGGCAAAGTGAGAAACTAATCCATAAATGTCAGTCGGACTACAGACTCCTCTTACATGACAACTTTTCTTAATTCTTTAAAATTGGCTTTCCTGCCCTAGCTGGTTTGGTTTAGTGGATAGAGCTTTGTCCTGTGGACTGAAAGGTCCCAGGTTCAATTCCAGTCAATGGCACCTGCCTGAGTTGCAGGCTCACTCCCCAGTTGGGGGCATGCAGGAAGCAGCTGATCAGTGATTTCCTCTCATCATTTGATGTTTCTCTCTCTCTCTCTCCCCCCCTCCTTCCTCTCTAAAATCAATTAAAAAATATATAAATAAAATTGGCTTTCCTATACTTAATTCAGTGATTTTTAAAAATCAATTCACTATTTTTCATATATATAATTTTCAAAGCATTCACCTGAGTTTTCATAGGAAAAAAGTTCTTTTTTTGCCCACATTTATTTATGTAATATATTTAATACTGTAATAGCTATAGCTGGTATATATCTCAGTTTTGGGGACAAACACTACATACTTTTTTTTTTTTTAATATATATTTTATTGATTTTTCACAGAGAGGAAGAGAGAGGGATAGAGAGTTAGAAACATTGATGAGAGAGAATCATCGATCAGCTGCCTCTTGTACACTCCCTACTGGGGATGTGCCCACAACCAAGGTACATGCCTCTGACTGGAATCAAACCCGGGACCTTTCAGTCCGCAGGCGGACGCTCTATCCACTGAGCCAAACCGGTTTCGGCACACTACATACTTTTGACATAGGCAACTGAACATGTGAAAGATGTTTTAAGTCGCCTGCTAGCCATACTTTTTTTATTTTTTTTATTTTTATTGATTTCAGAGAGGAAGAGAGAGGAAGAGAAAGATAGAAACATCAATAATAAGAGAGAATAATTGATCGGCTGCCTCCTGCAAGCTCCACACCAGAGATCAAGCCCACAACCTGGGCATGTGCCCCTGACCCGAATCGAAACCGGCTAGGGCTAGCCATACTTAATACTTAAAATATTTTATTCTAACTGCTATAATTACAGTGCTTGTTTGTCAAATGAAAATAAGTATGTACAATGGGTTACTAATTGTGTGTTGAAAAATATGAGAGGTTCCAGGACACTGAGCCAACCAGCTGGGAGGTTTCCTCTTGTTTGAACAGTTCAAGCTGTTCAGTTAGTGTTTATCAAAATCCAAAAAGGAAAAAAGTTCATTTAATGCACTGATGTCATCAGTCCACATGTTTTATTTCATGGAGGGAGAAGGATTATTTATCCAATAGGTTAATTGGAGATGAGTTAAGAAAGCTTCCATTGCAATGCTCTTAAAATGAATAAATATGTAAATAATTGAATGAATGAGTTTGCAGTCATGTTAAGAAAAATATCTGTAGGAATGGAGCACTAGAAAACTCAAGAAAAATCTTGGGTAAAGAATGGCAGAATATGTAAGTTCTAGAAGGGAAAAAAGGGATAATTGTGGAAGAAGGATGCAGGGACACAAATCTGACAACATTGTCCTATTATTTCATGCCAGCTTTAGTAATCCGAACTACCTCTATAATAGCAACTTTGTAATCCTAATACAAATGCATTCTCCACATATACTTTTTTTTAGTATTTATTTTTAGATATTTAATGATGAAAATAACTTTTTCCCCACTCAAATAGCTTTGACTTAGTAACATTATTACCCTTATTCTTAGCAGTGTGAAACTAGGAGAATATTAAATGACTCAATAAAATGTTGAAAGAGGTTTTATCTATACCTTCTATGGTAAGAAAGATAACTAATAGCATGCATTACATATGCTTTATCACAATTTTAGTCAAAGCAAGGTATGTCTTATTTATGTATTATTTATTGCTTATTTCATCTTCAGTTTTTAGACTGACAATTTAAAGTCTTCCCTTCTGTATAAATGAAAATGATACATTGCGTTTCTTTATCTTAACAGAAAAAACATGGACCCATTTGCCAGAAAACTGCCACTAAAAAACGGAAGACTTTTGATTCGAGCAGACAGAGAGCTGAAGGAACTGATATTCCAACAGTAAAACCTCTAAAACCTAGGGTAATTGTATAATCTTTGAACAGTATGAACCTTGTTGCTATATATATATATATATATATATATATATATATATATATATATATATTCCTTATCTGTTATACTAATCTATAATAATAAAAGCATAATACGCTAATTAGACTGGACAGCAAATGACCTTCCATATGTCATTCTAGACGTCCTTCCAGACGAAGCCACCATGGTGGGGGCAGAAGCAGAGATGGTCAGGGGTGATCAGGCAGGCAGGCAGAGTGGTTAGGGAGATCAGGCATGTAGGCGAGTGGTTAGGGGCAATCAGGCAGGCAGGCAGAGTTGGGGTTAGGGGTGATCAGACAGGCAGACAGAGTGGTTAGGGGTTATCAGGAAGGCAGGTGAGTGGTTAGGGGCGATCAGGCAGGCAGGCAAGTGGTTAGGGGCATCAGGCAGGAGGTGAGTGGTTAGGGGTGATCAGACAGGGAGTCGCGTGATTAGGAGCCAGTGATCCTGGATTATGAGAGGGATCCCTGAGGATTGGGCCTAAGCCAGAAGTTGGACATCCCCTGAAGGATCCTAGATTGCAAGAGGGTGCAGGCTAGGCTGAGGGACCCCACCCCCATGCATGAATTTCGTGCACCAGGCCTCTAGTATTGAATAATAACCAAAATTTTGTGTACTGTTCTCTATTTAGAAATGATCACAAACTTATTTATTTTAGACTTTGGAAAGAAGGAAGCCAAACTACTTCTTAACTCCCATTATTACAAAGAGGTTTTTCTAGCATTGGAGGATCACTTGCTTAGCTGTATAGGCTGGAAATAATTAAAAGCCCTCCTCACATGTTCCTTTTAAGTCATTGTTAATTACTTCGGCTATACTTTAATGTGTTAAAGTCTCTCTTACTAGTAGAGCAATCCCTGTATACAAAGGTAAAACTATAATTTATAGACATCTTAGCATACTAGAGATTGATTATCTTGATTGATAGTTTGCCAATATTTGTGGTCTTATTATGCTTTCTGGGAAAAACTTATCAATTGTTCAACTGTCCTCATATAGCCATTGACAACTTCTTTTCTTTCTTGTTATCAAAGCAATGAATCTCCTATGATAATGACTCTTTAATATCACTGTGATACTTTATATTGCTAAGAATAAGTCACATAAATACTTGACAAAGTTTTAAAGAGTTATTTCAGTGAAATTGTTAAAATTTGAATACCTCATTGAATAAGTTTTTGAAACAACCTTGCTTTCAGTGGTAATAACTTCTCCCATTGGTGCAAAAAACATTTTGGAATCTCGGAGGGTAGTCGGAGGAGAATGGGTGGGTGGGAGATAATCAACCAAAGACTTTGTATGCATATATGCATAACCCATGGACACAGACAATAGGCTGGTGAAGATCTGGGATGGGGGTTGGGGACAGGTTGGAAGGGATCAATGTGGGGGCAGGGTGGGAAGGGAACATATATAATACTTTCAACAATAAAGATTTCAAAATATTTTTTTTTTTTTTTTTTTTTATATATTTTATTGATTTTGTACAGAGAGGAAGGGAGAGAGATAGAGAGTTAGAAACATCGATGAGAGAGAGTCATCGATCAGCTGCCTCCTGCACACCCCCTACTGGGGATATGCCCGCAACCAAGGCACATGCCCTTGACCGGAATCGAACCCGGGACCTTTCAGTCCCCAAGCCGACGCTCTATCCATTGAGCCAAACCGGTCCCGGCTCAAAATATTTTTTTATTGATTTTTCACAGAGAGGAAAAGAGAGGGATAGAGTTAGAAACATCGATGAGAGAGAATCATCGATCAGCTGCCTCTTGCACACCCTCCACTGGGGATGTGCCCGCAACAAGGTACATGCCCTTGCCCGGAATCGAACCCGGGACCTTTCAGTCCGCAGGCCGACGCTCTATCCACTGAGCCAAACCGGTCCCGGCCTGAAGATTAAATTTTGAAGTATATAAACCCACAGGAAAGGCACAGGAAAGATAAGAGAATACCATGGATAAATTTATGTAATCCCTATAATAACCCCATGAAATGGATGCTACAACTTCTACTACCATTTTACAGATAAGTAGAAGTATGAATTAAGTAATTCACTCAACACAACATGCTAAGTAGCAGACCAGAGTTAAAATCAGGCAGACTGAGTCCGGAGCGCTTTCTTATACCTCTCTGTGAAAGATCAATAAAATATATTAAAAAAAATTTACTCTTCAGAACAAAGCAAGTACAGCATTGATTTACATTAAATAGTTTACATTTTTGCTACTTAAATGGTGGTCTGTAGAGTTATAATATCAACACCATTTTGGATTGTTAGAAATGCAGAGTTTCAGGTCCCACTCACGCATACTCATTCAGCACCTACATTTTAACCCAAACCATGTTTGAGTTATACACATATTATAGTTTGAGGAGCAGTATGTTAGAAGATTTTGAACATTGTAGCTTACCTCTCAGTATCTTTATCTGTATCAAGGATACTCTACAAAATCACAAGCAGAGTGGAGCAAAGCAAACACAAAATTCATTTTTGGAGAAAGTAAAGGCAGGTGTAATCCATAGACCACAAAATGCAAGGGCTGCTTACAGCCACTGAGATCTAGAAAGGAAGCGCAGGAAGTGCAGTGTGGCCGAGGGCCCAGACCTGGGAACCTGGCTTCTTACAGGTGACTCCTTGATGCTGAGGGGCCTTATCCGGAAGTTTCTATCCCTTGTTACTATAGCTGGCAGGAACTGGGATGAACTGCTGGGGATTGGATAGCCTGGGACTGGAATGAGCCTGGCTGACATGGACAAAAGCCAGGAGGGAGGAGGTGGAGATAAGAAGCACAGAGTGTTAAGAGGCCCCGCTAGTGGCAGAGACTCTCAGAAAGCACTAGAAAAAGAAAATACCCTTTCTGAGGGCGTGGTGCCCACTTAGTGCTGTGTCCTGTGTGAGGGAGTGTGGCTGGCAGCGGTAGTAACCCTCTTGACTCATATTGTTTTAGAGAAGCAGAAGGGGGATGTCTAATCACACTTTGAGGCCTTATTTGCATCTGTATCTGATGCAAACACAGAAGAGAGCTATTGGTATGTGAAGCCTGGAAGGCTACCCTGGCCTCTCCTTTATAAATAGCTGTACAGAAGAAAACCCAACTCATGAGAGTAATAAAAATTATTAGCTCAGCACTGACACAGACACTGTGAAAAAGGGAGAAGAGGGCAGCAAGACTGACCAGTAGATGAGTGATACTCACTGTGGCGCCCGCCAGAGTTGTGATTAGACATTTCAATACCAAGTACTAAATGTCAGAGTCACTCATCTCAAACGTGGAAATGTTTGTATATTTAGTTAAGATTTTTGCATATATATTCATGAGAGAAGTGGAACTACAATTATTCTTTCTACTAAAGTTTTGCTTTTGTAAGACTAGTAGGAAAGTTGTTCCCTTGTTTTATATATTTTTAAAGAGTTTTTAAAAGATTGGGTGCTATTTTTTTCTTAAATCTCTGCAAGAATTCAATAGGGAAGAAATCTAGGCCAGGAGTTTTCTTTGTGGGTTTTTAAAAATAGTAGATTCATTTAAAAAATATTTAATACTATTGTGATTTTCTGTTTCTTCTGGTATCTGTTTTGTAGTATTTGCTGAGAATATTCTTCATTTCATCTTAGTTATCAAATTTATTAACAAAGTTTTTTTTATAATATTTTCTTTCTATTGTTTGTAAGAACTGGATCATGTACTATTTTCTATTCTTGGTAATTTGTATTCTCTCTATCTCTCTCTCTTTAGTTTTACTTATTAGTGTTTTTGAAGAACCATGTTTTGACTTTGTTGATTCAACTTTTATTCTTGATTTAAAAAATAAAAATATAATAGGGATAATTGAATATTTCAATAATATGACAAAATAAATACCTGGAGGCAGAAGAGCCAGCATCATGTTTAATGGAAAGATACTTAGAAGGAATTCCATTAATGCAAGGAATAAGATTCATCTCTAACCAGTATGGTACAAGCTGATAGATAGAAAATAATAAGAAATTAGATGTGTAGAGACTGAAAACTGTCATTAAGAAGCTAAAACCCCAAAGAATCAACTGATAAATTACTACCAATATAAGAGAAGTCAGTGAAGTAATGAAATATCATATTAGTCTACAGAAACTACTATGTTTTATATTTCAATATAAACATGAGGAAAATATCCTTTATAAAAGAGAAACACCAAATATAAAATAGCCTTAAGGTAACAGAGGTATGAGTTCCACAAAGAATAATTTAAAATACTACTGAAAGAAAAATGAACACTTCTTCAAATGGAAATATATCTCATACTCATGGGTAGACTTAACATATTAAAATTTTAAGTTCCTTAAGTTGGTTCTGAATATAATGTTTCATTTTTAATGTTATAAGTCTTTTCATTTTAATGTTGTAAATCTTTTTAAAAAAATAGACAAGCTAATTTTAAAGTATATGAAAAAATAGCATCCAAGGATAACCAAAAAAGATTGTAAAAAAGCAAAATGAAGTAAGCTACCCTATCAGATTTTAAAATATCATAAAATCTCAATATTTAAAAAATATTGACATAAGGATAGTCATAATAATGGGACAAAAGAAAAAGTTCAGAATAAGCTCAAATACTGAAGAGAATATGGTAAAAGTATTGTCCCAGTTCAATGGGAAGGAAAGTCAGTAAAGATGGTGAGACAACTGTATAGCTATGTTGACAAACAAAAAGTAAAGTGAAATCCTTATGTCACACCACTCATCAGGATAAATTCCAAACGAGTAAGAGATTTAAAATTTTAAATTAAAACACAAAAGCTCTGGGTGGAAACATGGAAAATTCCCATTTTTTTTTTTTAAATCAATCTTTATTGTTCATATTATTACAAAGGTTCCTCATTTCTTTCCCCCTCCACCAGGTTCCCACCCCACCCTCTGCCTCCTCCCCATCCCCCATTGTCCTCATCCATAGGTGCAGTTTATGTTCAGTCTTTTCTTCCCTCAATTTCCCCAATAGTAAATCCCTTTTCAGATAGTAAATCAGTTACTTAGCATTTTCTCAAATCAACAATACCTCCACATGCCCAATGATACACTTCACACAAAAGACATTTCCCAATAGGTCCACCAGCCTCATCCAGGCCCCACCCAAGGCACTCACAGATCAACACCCCAGTCCTAAACTAACTCAACACATCCAGATCTAAGCCTTCATCACTTGATTCAGCAGACCCTCAAGTTCCCACGAAAGTTTCCAGCCATGTCTGAGAAGCAGCCGTGGGGCAGGGGCAGGCAAGGAGCGAGCTGTTCTGGGCCTGGCTGCTCAGGGCCTGGCCTCTGTTGCTCTGGTTCATTCCACAACCAGCTGCTCCGGGTCTGGGTGTTCCTGGACTTGTCACCCTGGGCTTGGCCGCCTCCGCCTCATGCCTGTCTGCCACTGCCCCAGGTCTGGCTGCTCCAGTGCTGGCTGTTGATGCTCTGGTTCTGGCTGCTGTTGTTCTGGGGCCTGGCTGTTGCTGCTCTGGGTCTGGCTGCCACTGCCTTGTGCCTGGCCACTTTAGGCCTGGCCGCCGCTGTTCCAACCTTCTGTCCTTTTTTTTTTTCTTTTTTCTTTTTAAAATGCATTTATGTTGCAATGTTGGCTGGTGAGTTGAGTTCTGACTTAGTCTTTGATTTTTCAAGATCTTCTTTGTATTCTTACTTAAGTAATTTTACTATTTTTTGCTCTCACTTAATTTCTTCACATTGAGAACTTCTTCAGTTTCTTCCTCCTTGTCCTGGGAGCTCAGCAGGTTGGCCTGTGGCACCCCTTTGTTCTCCGCGGGCTCCTGTGCTGCTTCAGCCTGTTGCCGGGACGGCGCAGCCCAGGAAGCAGCCCCGGACCTTGGCTCCATTGCCCGAGCTCAGTGGTCAAAGGCTCAGGGGCACCCACGCCCCCAGGGGCCCCGTGGCCCGCCTTCTTGCTGGTGCCCGGTTGGCTGGAGTCCGGCAGGGGCTTCCGCTCCCCTCCGCGTTCCCCCAGCCTAGAGCTTTTTTTTTCTCCTTCCCGCTAGGGGAGTCCAGCATCAGAGTCAACAGACTGTCCTCTGCGCGCAGTTTGCGCGAGTCCCGGGGGCCCGGCCTTTCGCCGCTCTCCCCAGACTCCACCTCACAGCCCCGTCTCCCTCTGCCTGAGCCTGGGTCCCCAGGGATTAGCCCAGAACTGGGGTTCAGAGTAGTCAGGACTGAGGCCCAGCGCCGCCGGAGGCCTTGTTTCTTCAGGCTAGGGCAACCCAGCATCAGAGTCAACATTCAGTCCTTGCGCACGACTCCCGGGGCCCTGCTTTTCGCCGTTTTCCGCCTCACGGCCCCGTCTCCTTCCACCGGAGCTTGAGTCCCCAGGATCTGGCCCATAACTGGGGCTCAGTGCTGCTGGTTCGGGGGGCTCAGCGCTGCCGGTTCGGGGGGCTCAGCGCTGCCGGTTCGGGGGGCTCAGCGCTGCCGGTTCGGGGGGCTCAGCGCTGCCCGTTCGGGGGGCTCAGCGCTGCCGGTTCGGGGGTTCAGCCCAGGCTGGGGGTTTTATTTCCTTCCTGCTAGGGAAGGAAAGGCAGCTCCCCGCCCTCTCCTCCTCTCCTGCTGCGACCTCTCAGTGCGCGCGTGCGGGCGGGCTCGCAGCATGTCTCCGTACCTTAGGCTTTTTTTCAGCTCCTCTGATTTTCTTTCTGGTTTTCTCTTTCCTTCTTGTTGTAGAAATTTCAGTCAGTCGACTACCCGTAGCTCTGGGCAATGTCCACTCTACATTTTAGTTGTATTCCATTGAAATTGTTGTGTGCTGCCGCGGCTAGATGTCTACCCGAGCAGCCATCTTGGATCCTCTCGAAAATTCCCATTTTACTTCGGGGTGTGATTGGGCCTTGTTAACTGTGACTACAAATCCAGAGATCATAAAAAAAAGACTTGTAAATTAAGCTATCTTTACAATATATTTCTTCCCATTAAAAGGATCTTTGAAAGGGTAAAAAGACGGACATGAGTATTAGGGAGGGTTGGGGCTAGTCTCCTTTAGAGAGTTATTGGAAATTGTTTAAGAAAAAACAAAAAACAAAAAAAAACCCCAACCAATCACCTACTAGGTAAGTTGACCAGGAAGATAAACAGTTCACAAAAAGGAAATACTAATGATTCTTAGTTATATGAAAAGATGCTCACTCTTACTCATTATAAGAGAAAAGCCAGTGAAAACTAGAGAGAGAACTATCTTTCACCTCTAGTCATTAAAAACCAAAAAGTGTGATAACATATTCGGTTGGAGGAACTATGGGAAAACAGGAAAATACACTCTTCGTGGGACACCTTAGTGGGACACAATGTGACACCTACAGAAGTCAATTTAGTGTCTATTACAATTAAAATTGCATTTTAGAAATTACATATAACATAGTTGCATTAAGTTCTCTTTTTGTAATTGTAAATTTGGGAAGGAAATCATTTAAGAATTCCTGGCAAGAAAATATTTAAAGTAATATGGCATTTCATCAAGTTCTATCTCAGTTTAGTGCAAAAAATGTTCTAAAATTGACTGTGTTTTTTTGTAGCCTGAACCGCCAAAGAAACCATCTAATTGGAGAAGAAAACACGAGGAATTCATTGCCACCATAAGAGCAGCCAAAGGCCTGGATCAGGCCCTCAAAGAGGGGGGCAAGCTTCCTCCTCCTCCTCCACCTTCTTACGATCCTGGTATATGCCTGTTGACAGTACTGCTCATGGGGGATAACATATTGGTAGAATTTTTATCAATTTTAAGTTGTTATTAAACTTAATCTGTAATAATGGAACCTGATGAAGCATAGTCTTTAAAAGTTGTGCTACAAAATAATGTTGATAGCAAGCATTTAGGCTTATTAATACACATCCGTGTTGAACATTTTTATCTCAGTACTTCTGTTTAAACATTATGATATCATTTTAAAACTATTGTAGCAACTATTAAATTTTAATATTCCAGGAAACATTTTAATCATGCTCACTGTGAATTGAAATGTAGTCATTCAATAAGATTCACACAGTGATGTTGCTTAGTTCTTTGGAATCTTCTCATCTGGGAAGGAAGAAAATCGTAACATTGCTTAAAAAATATACAATTTGTGTGAGGAAATTACCATATAAACCGATATACCTAACTATGCCCTAAACTCATGCATTACATTTTTTCATTGAGTGGGTAAAGGGTGTTATTATTGTTATAAAAATAAACAAGGCAGGCTGCTGGCTACTCCGTTTGAGTTGTTTTGATACTAATAGGTTTAAAATAGCACATTTGACATTTTGACATTGATTATTAGAGTAGCCTGAAGAGGTTGCTATTTTAATGTAACAAGTTAACTGCATCAAAATTGTGTTAGTATTTTAGATTGGGATTTATTTCTTTGTAAAGAGAAATTTCTTCAGAAAATCTAGATATGATCATTTTTAATGTTTTATTATAGAAAAAGAAGTTGGCAAACTATTTCTAAAAGGGCCAGATAGTAAATATCTTAGGCTTTGCAGGCAATACTCAGCTCTGTTGCCCCTACTACAAGAAATCAACCACAGACAATATGTAAGTAAATGGGTGTAGCTGTCTTCTAATAAAACTATTTATCAAAACAGGCAGCTGGCAGAACGGATTTGGCCTAGGGGCCCTTGTTTGCCAGCCTCTGTTCTAGAATAATTATCTTTAATCTTAGGTGTGTTTCTGGAATGACCCAACTGGGTTTGGGTCTCTTTTAATTCTCCCTAAATTTTCCCCATGAAGTTGAATTTTCTCTGTTTTGGAGGCATTTGTATATATCACACCTTACTCAACATAGCTATATTTCTCATGTTTACCTAGATAAGAGAGCAAGACTTCCAGTAGTTCAGCATGATTTGGGCTATAGAAAATTTAAAATATCATAGTCCTGACAAAACAACTTCTTTGTTATTAGAAATTTTAGATTTACTCACTAATTAGCAGGACAGATTTCTGAGCTTCAAATGAGTATAAATTTAAAGGTAAACCCCTATAGAAAAGTAAACTTGTTGAAATAGAGATTTTTTTTGACACTGCTAAATTTTTATAGTCATGTCTTTTCAGTGTCTCAGTTGAGATCTTTTATAGTACTACAAAATTTAGTTCAGCTTGGGATAATTTAGAGATTTAATTTAAAAATAAATTATAGTATACATTGCATTTTAGAATATTTTATCATGGAAGCATTCTCTCTTAAATTTGAATGGATGTTCAATAATGGAATCATATCATTGGGCTGAATTAATTATGTTGAGATATATTGCTTCTTTCATCTGTTGGGACTTCTAAAAGATAATAAATACGAAGTCGATTAAAACTATTTTATGACAGTTTTCCTCTAATTGAAGTACAATATTTTAATAGATGATCCTAAATTTTAAAGTATATTTTGAATGTAATGTGTTATTACTGCCTAATTAATCTAACATATAAAAATATGTATATACTAGAGGCCTGGTGCATTAAAATTCATGCACTGGAGCGGGGGTCCCTCAACCCAGTCTGCCCGTTCTCATAGTCCGGGAGCCCTCAGGGGTGAGAGGTGACCCATCGATCAGGGGAAGGTGATGCCCCCATTATACCTCTGCTGGGCGGCCCTGGGCAGCTGGGCAGCTTCCATCCAAGGCTTGCCTGTACTTTGGGCTGGCTCTGGGCAGCTGGCGGGCTGAGGGAACTGGGGGACTCCAGAGGCGGGTGCCCGGCAGGGCTGAGGGGACTGGGTGCCACCATCTTGTGGCTGTGGGCACCAACATCTTTGAGGGCGTGGCAGTCAATTAGCATATTCCTCCTTATTGACTGTGTTTGCTGCATTTTGTGATGGTGTGATGGTTAATTAGCATATCCCCTCTTTATTAGATAGGATGATGAAACACGGCATTATAGAAGTAAAGAGAAATAACATTTTTCCTCCATATTTGTATCAAGGATTTATACTTTTTTTTCCCCCTTCAAATTTGATTCTAAGCTGGAAGAATATGGGACTTTATTATATACCAGAAGCTTGATGCATAAAATTCCTGCAAGGGCCTTGGCCCCCGCCACTGTGGTGGCCACCTCTGTCTTGGTCCCCACCTGCCCAGGCTTTGTCCCGAAGGGAGGACACCCAGAAGGACATCCGGTCTAATTTGCATATTATGGTTTTATTATTATAGACTAACACTTTTTGCTTAAACATTTTTATACCAAGTTTGTATAAGTCAGATTGAGTGGTTATAAGGAAGTGAGAGATTTTGTTTATTAAATATTACTTATGCTTATGCCTTCATATAAACTTATATAATTCATTATGTCCTACTTAAAGTATTGTGTTAATAATTGCTTTTTTTTTTGTTTTAGATTATATTCAATGTCCATATTGCCAGAGGAGATTTAATGAAAATGCGGCTGATAGACATATAAATTTCTGTAAAGAACAGGCAGCACGTATTAGTAATAAAAGCAAATATTCCACTGACGCCAAAGGCAAAGCAACTTCTCGGACACAGGTGAAATGCGCTACTTAATCATGTCCATAAACAAATGAGAAAATGACTTTTTCAAGTTAACTGTTTTATATTTATGTTTTATAGAACATTTAAGTATCATTTTCTCACCTGCTAAAATTTATGTATTACTGTTCAGGGATTTAGTAATAAATTTGAATGACTAATTGAAAGAAAATAATTATAGTTAATCAATTTGAAATGGACTTGAGTTAGTAGAAACTTGTAAATATATAGATTTTGAAGAGGTATTAGGAAATATGTAAGAAAATAAGTTAAAAATTGGTGAAGCAGGTGCAGAGGAAACCAGAGGTAATAGAGGAGTAAGAAAATGCCAGTCAATTACCTCCATGAAAATCAGGTAAGTGTTGCTCTGGCTGGAGCGGGTCAGTTGGTTGGAGCATCATCCTGTGTTCTGGAAGGTTGCTTGTTAGAGTCCTGGTCAGGGCACATGCCTGGTTATTGGTTCAGTCCCCAGTCAGGGCATGTGCAGGGGGCAACGAATCAATGTTTTTCTCTTTCTCCCTCTCCGGCCCCTTTCCTCTCCCTGTCGATCCCTTTCTTCTTCTCTAAAATCAATTATTAAAAAAAAAAACATGTAAGAACTGAATGTTTCCATGTTATGTATGAGTAATGTTTCCATGTTATGTATGAGTAATGCTATTGAGGGAATGAATGTAGGGTCAAATCCAAATTGCTAATTTTAGCCTTTATTTCTTCATTTGTGCAGTGGTAATTTCCATGAGTATTGTGAGAAGCAGATGGAATAATGTATGTGAAAGCATTTAGCACACTATTAACCATAGAAAGATTTTGTTATATGAAATTGATTTTTACAGTACTATTGGTTTCTTAAGCATATTGGAAGTAGGAAAATGTTATACTTCCAAGCAAATTTCATTTTTTTATAAAGCTTTCATTTTTAAATAAATTTTTAGTACTATAAATCTAGCAGATAATAAATCCATTTCTCTTGTTACTTACAAATAAAACATTGAATTAAAAGACTCCATTACAATTGGGGTCTTCTTGAGAGAATTTTTTTATTAAATGTTTGTTAATATTATTGGAAATAGAACAAACACATCATTATTATTTTCATTGTGGGGAAAGAACAGTGACTCATTTTGAATGATTTCTCAAAGAGATGTCAAACACATATCTTATAATACACATGAACAGTTAATGACTGTAATACGATTTTTTGTTTTGTTTCAAGAATAAAATAATTAGTAGAACAATGGAAATACAATAGAATGTGTATATGCCAACAACTTTGTTCCAAATAATTGATAAATGTGAAATCCTAGTAGTTGATTTTCTCACCTTAAATCAGTGTTAATTCCATGTCCAGTTGTGTATGTTCATTTTACTCTAACCCCATATTTTCTTTTTTTTTTTTTTTTTAAATATATTTTTTATTGATTTCAGAGAAGAAGGGAGAGGGGAGGGAGAGAGAGAAACATCAATGACGAGAGAGAATAATAGTTCAGCTGCCTCCTAAACCCCCCAACTGGGGATTGAGCCCACAATCCGGGCATGTGCCCTGACCTGGAATCGAACCATGACCTCCTGGTTCATAAGTTGATGCTCAATCACTGAGCCCTGCTGGCCAGGCCATATTTTCATGTTTCTATTCATTTAACAAGTTTTTATTGAGTACCCTCTTCGAGACAGATACTGTAGCAAGTACTGAGTGTATATTAGTAGACTAAATACAGTACTTTTTCATAAGAGGTTTAGATGCTCCTTATCATATTTAGCAGCTGTATTTTCATCAGCACACACAGTATTATCAGTCCTGAACGTTTTTAGTATTTTGTTAAAAATTGGTCTAAATAGTACCTTCTGCCATTTTATAAGAAACTAGGGGCCTAGTGCACGTATTTGTGCACCTTGAAAGGAACTGTAGGCTGTGAGGCTGTGGTAGGCACAACGGCTAGTCTCTGCCCATCCTCTGTGCCCCGCCTGGCTCCTCCCGCCATGGCCCCTGGTCCTCTGTCTGCCTGCAGTCCTGCTCCTGTTGCCGTTCCCACAAGCTGATGGTGCCGGCCCCACTCAAACCCGCTGATGGCGCAGAGCAATTGGGGCTGGCGCCAGCAATGGGTGCGAGTGGTGGCTGCTGCCCCGATTGCTCTGCAGGAGTAGGGGGAGGTGGAGAAGCCCTCAGGGGTGATCAGGGCCGGCAGCCGCTGCTTGGACCCACTGATGGTGCTGAGTGACCGAGACCGGCGCCAGGCACTGGCAGTAGGTCTGAGCGGCAGCTCCGGTGCTGGCAGCAATTGGTGCTCATCTTGTTCTGGTGCCCCCACTCACCTGCTCCACCATCCCATAGCGACTGATTGTTCAGTTGTTCTGCTGTTTGGTCTATTTGCATATTAGCCTTTTATTATATAGGATTAATGTTTTCCACATTCTTTAAGCCTTTCCATTAAAGAAAGTCTCTTTTAGTAAGGAAATTTACTAGAGTTGTGATCAGCATAAACACACACACACACACACACACACACACACACACACGAAATAATTAGCACCTAACAAATACTTATGAATGAAAGAGAAATATACACTGAGTGGCCAGATTATCATGATCTCTGAATGCATAATAATCTGGCCACTCTGTGTATATTGACTATAATTATATTAAAAGAAAATTATTTCTTCTGAATGAACTTATATGAGATTGTGATAGCTAGTCATCCTGAAAGCCTTTCTAATGCTGGTAGAATGTCAGCTAGATGCTGTGGGATAGATAAAATGCACTCAGGGAGGAAAGAGTCCCATTATCTAGGGCAGGGGGACAGCAACCTACTGAGAGGCAGGTGAATAATCTTTAAACAAGAGGCATTCAGAGTAGCATGAGGACTCACAAAGGAAACTAACCTGACTAATTCTTGTTGAAAGTAACAGGAGCTATTAGAGGCGATAGATAAGGTTGGACTACGTTTTAGGGACCTCAGGAAACAGTAAAACTGAGTAAAATCATAGAAGGCCTAATATAGAGAGCAGAAAAGCAAAGCACTATTTGAAAGGCATATTTTGCCTTTTTAAATTTCTAAGCCATTAAGTTAATAATAATAAATTCTGAAAGGTACATAAAAATTTATATGCTCTATATATAGTTTTACTAGGGCCTTCCTGCCTGTTCTCAACCTGAAGGCTTGACCTCTCACTATGCAATGCATCCCCTTTTGTGTATGCAGCTCATGAATGGGTCACCAATTCTGTTTCTTAATTCAGTTTTATGGACCCTGATTTTAGTAGACCTGTCTCTGGTATTTTGACAAATCTTTTTTAGGTCTTGTTTTTCATATTTATTTTAAAATATTTTCTAATATCTTCATTGATATTTTAGTGGGAAAGACATATGAACAGATGCTCTTTTATTTTATTATATTTAAAAATATTTTTATTAATTTTTTAGCGAAAAGAAGGGAGAGGGAGAGAAAGAAACATCTGTGAGAGGGAAACATTGATTGGCTGCCTCCTGCACACCCCTTATTGGGGAATTCAGCCAGCAGCCCAGGCATGCGCCCTGACCTGGAATCTAACCGGCAGCCTCTGGGTGCATGGGACAATGTCCGCCAGCTGAGCCACACACCTGCCCTTTTAAGTCAGAAACACCTCTGCTCTGCCCAGATTGCTCAGTGGTTAGAGTGTCCTCAAGGTATGCCAAGGTTGCAGGTTTGATCTCCACTCGGAGCACATCCATGAATCAACCAGTGAATGCATAAGTAAGTGGAACAACAAATTGATGTTTCCCACTGCTTCCCCTCCTTCCCTCCCTCCCTCCCTCCCTCCCTCCCTCCCTCCCTCCCTCCCTCCCTCCCTTCCTCCCTCCCTTCCTCCCTCCCTCCCTCTGTCCCTCCTTCCCTCCCTCCCTCCCTCCCTCTCTCTCTCTTTTTCTCTCTCTCTCAAAATCAGTTATAAAAACCCAAACAAACCAGGAAGACCTCTCAAGTTTTTGAAGAATTGTCTACAGCTTATCTCCAAGGTCTTCTAGTCATTTGTTCATCTGATAGGCAGTTATTGAAGGTTTTCTATTTGCCAAGTGTGCAAGAAATTTTAGTTTCTGGCATAATAGTTTCAAATATGCATGGTATTTGAGTGTGTATAAGAGACCCTTTTATCAAGATTTTTTTTTTTAAGGTCACATACTGAATTTCAGAGATATGTTTAAAATTTGTGTTTAGCAACTTTTCAGTAGTGCTACTACTGATTATTGGTTATAAAATATGATTTGACTTTTGAAAATCAGGTTTAAAACGCATTTTCAGATAAAATCCTAAGCACTAAATACTGCATTAGGCTAACTCTCAAGTACACACACAATGCAGTAATCCTATGTAATACAAGGCTAATATGCAAATCCTCCACTAGGGAGTTTATCTAACCAGGGGTTTGACTGATCGCTATGATGTGCGCTGACCACCAAGAAATAGTGTAGAATGAAGGAAGATCCTGGCCAGCTCTGATCACTGGCCAGGCCTAGGGACCCCAGCTGTGCATGAATTTTGTGCACCGGGCCTCTAGTCACCTTATAGTGAAGCATTGGCTGGCACTGAGGTGGCCTGAGTCTTCATTTCCGTTCTGTTGTTCAGTTGGGGTGTAACCCTGGGCAAGTGCATTTCTTTATGTCAAGTCAGGTGATTGATAAGATAGTTTTGTATTTAGTAAATGAGCAAATTTGGCTCTTAAGAGAAAGTGAAATAAAATTAATAGTGATATCCCTTGAGAGAGTGGAGCACAAATAAAAATAACATAAGCTGATGTGCCTTGTTCTTTCTTAACCCACATCTCATTCCTCTGATGTGGTCTGGTGAGGATGGGAAGCCAGACTTGGCTGTCTCTCCACATTGGGGCAACCGAAGGCAGCTCTTGTAAACCTGTCTGGGTTGATATGTAATCTTAGGCATGTGATCAGTAAATGTGGCTGGATTATACATATGAAATATAAAACCACACCCAGGGACATGCTATATCCTGACCTTTAAAAGTCACTCCACCCAATGAGAAGCATTAGGTGTCCAAGTTTTTCTGTTAACATTTGCTTGGTGTTTAGAATCTAACATCGAGGAAATATTTCCCACTAAACATTTCCCCTCTGAACTGGGAAAGTTGTTTTTTGTTTATTTTAGAAATGGAACATCGTAGCTAAACTTTCAGTCCACCAGTTTTGAGAAGGAACATTTTGGGAAACCTCTCTCTGAGGCGACACTTTTTAATCTGCACTTTCTCACTTTGGGCAAAAGTAATGAATAAAAGGATTGCTCATTGAAGGGAATGAAATACTAGCTGTGAAACAGTAGTTTTCAATTGATATTAAAAATGATGATGAAATAATTTATTTTCATTACTTTAGTATAAGCCGCCTGCTCTCAAAAAGACAAATTCTCCTGGGACCCTGTCATCGGGATCGTCACGATTACCACAGCCAAGTGGCAGCAGCAAGACTGTTATAGGTAATGAGAGCCATGAAAGAATTCGTTTTCTTTCTTGTTGTTATTTACAGTGTTAGTAGAGAAGGAAATGAAGACAGCATTTAATTCAGATCACTAAAACAGATTTATAATTAATTAAGAGATAGGGTAAAAATAAAGTAACTTTCAATAGCTTCTACTTTAGGTGCTTATTGTTTTAGCTTCAATGAATATCCTTAATGTTGTTAATGATATAGGATTTGTTCAGAGTAGACAACCAAGTTCCTTTCTTTTTTTTCTTTCTTCTTAATATATTTTATTGATTTTTTTTTTTTCAAAGAGGAAGAGAGAGGGATAGAGAGTTAGAAACATAGATGAGAGAGAATCATCGATCAGCTGCCTCTTTCACACCCCATACTGGGGATGTGCCTGCAACCAAGTTACATGTCCTTGACTGGAATCGAACCTGGGACTTTTCAGTCCGCAGGCCTATGCTCTATCCATTGAGCCAAATCGGTTTTGGCAACCAAGTTCTTTTTTTGATTCTGTGACTATTTTTTCCTCATTTCAACCTATACTGCTCTGAACATGACAGTTGTCCTTAATATACAAATGTTTAATGGTTAGAAGATAATATTGACCACTGAAGTGTATTTTTATTTGTATGTAAATTATAAGAAGTATGGAAATTAGAAATGAAGGATACTTGATGTTCCCTGGAAATTTCATTTTTTAAAGAAAAATAATTCTTAGTTGATAACAAGTTTAGATTTATTGCCAGTAATCCATTATTTTCCTTGTCAGATGCTAATTTTTAAAAAAAATTTTTTCTGAGTTTCATTAAAACTAATACTTTTTTATTGTAAGGTGTCTCTTCAGGTAGAGTGTCTTCAGTTAGCAGCTCACTGGGAAACAAACTTCAGACCTTATCTCCCTCGCATAAAGGGATAGCGGCCCCTCAAGCAGGGTAGGTTGACATTGAACCTAATTCATTAATGACATATATGTATAAATACTAAGGTTTTATTTTGTTTATATAATTGGCTTTTTCATTAACCTTAATTTTCTTTCTAAGTTCACTTGTCTGTTAATATTGCTGCTCAGGACCACACTCATTGCTGGCGAGGCTCTAAATTAGTATACTCCCATTGGAAGGAAATCTGCCTAACATTTATCAAGAAGTTTGAATACTTTTAAAATATTTCTATATTTGATTGAATAATTTTACTCGGGGAATCTAGCTAAGGAAATAATTTGAAATACGGAAGATTTTTGTAGTAATCATGATTTAGTAAGAATTATGTGTCAGGCACTGTGCTAGACATTTTACACACATTTTTATTAAAATCACCCTACTGCTGTATCATGAGAGGGCCCGAGAAGGAAAGTAATTTGTTCAAAGCTGCACAACTGTTAAAAGTTAGAAGCAAGGTACAGATCAGGGTCTCTTTAGCTCTAAACATTGGTCTCTTTTCATGTTTTTATTACCATGTAAAAGATATAAAACCACCTAAATGTGTCTAGCTTTGTTTGAAGAGCAGATGTTTTAAGTTTACAAAGGAATATTATGCAACCATAAACAAATATATAAATCTTAATAAGCCTATTCTGCTATAACATGAGTGAAATATAGGATACAAACTCCATGTTTGCTGTGATAGAAAGTAAAAAAATAGATGTAGACAAAAAAAGACCAAAATATGCTGAAATAGTAAAAATGGTTGATTCTTTTCATTTTATTTAATACTAACTACTTTTTATTTTTCTACAGTTTTATAAACATGATTTTCAGTAAAGTAGCATAAGTAAGCTTTGAATAATTATGTTCCTGGGGGAAATTATTGATAACACTAGATATTTTAATTAGTTTTAATTCAGAGTATTAAATTCAGGCCTGGCAGTCCACTAACCTCACTTTCTTCCATTTTGATGTCAGAAAGTTAAGGATTACCATGTGTTCATAAGAAAGCAGGATGAGGTCTAAATCTTTAGAAATGCTGATAAGGTTGATAGAGGAAATATAGCCCATATTATTTTCAGATATAGGTTATCACTTTAGTTTTTATGTAGGAAATATACTAGCATATCAGGGTAAATATAAAATGAGAATAATTGCCTTTTGTGTTCTAATTTAGATTATGTAGAAAGTGTAAGAACTAAAAGGAACTTAACTTCTTTTGTAGGAAAAGAAGAACAATATACTAACATCTGATTAGTTAAATGTTTTTTCCTTTTTGTTGTGCTTCCATAAAGAAGAGACATGCTATCCTTAAGAAAGGGAGAGGTTATCAGTAGAACAGGTGGTTGAAAAATAAAAGGTTCTCAGCTTCCAGTGATAAAACTGATTTTTTTTCTTGCTTCTCTACTGACAAATCAAGTATAGACAAAGCCATATGTGTTTAATAAATAAAGTATAGACATAACTATATATATTTTAATTTACAAAGCCTTTCTAACCACATCACAAAGAATTACCTTCCATGTTAGTTTATAGTTTTGTTTTGTTTTTAAAATATATTCTATTGATTTTTTACGGAGAGGAAGAGAAAGGGAGAGAGAGTTAGAAACATCGATGAGAGAGAATCATCGATCAGCTGCCTCCTGCACACCCAATCCTGGGGATGTGCCCGCAACCAAAGCACATGCCCTTAACTGGAATCGAACCTGGGACCCTTGAGACTGCAGGCCAACGTTCTATCCACTGAGCCAAACTGGCCTCAGTATAGTTTTTGTTTCTAGTATTATTTGTAGTTTCGTTTGAATGTGATTATGAATTAAAAGCTGGTATTTTCAGGACCTCTCCTGTCATGCTGCTAATTTAATCGTTTGGCAATAGTGAGTTGCTCTGACACCCTGTATTCTTAAATAGGGCGAGTGAAGCTGGCTGGTAAAATTGAAAGGGACGCTGACTTTGAATTAGAGAACGAGGCTTCTGGGCCCAACTTTGCCACTAAATAGCTTTATGCTTTGCCTTTGCCTATCTCCTTTCTGTCTCACTCGGACCTCACCTGTGACTCGGCTTAGATCATGACAACTGACCTAAGAAAATCTGATCAGCATTTACATCATCCCTTGGAGAAAATGTTTTACTGACAAGCAAAGATTGTGAGCACACATTTTATGTTATGTACTGCTTATAATACGATGAAGAGTTAACATTTATGGTTCTCTCACATCATATTAAACTGTCAAACATAATTATTCAAATCCCAATTGTCCATTTATATATGATCCTTACATGTTACAGGAGTGCCTTTAGATACTTGGAAGAGAGCTGTGGTGGTTGCTTCTGGCTAATATATTACTACATGAACTGGAACATAACCAACCTTATCACATATATTTCACAGAACCATCCGTGGCTGCTGTTGAGTGGCAGGTTCATTCCTTTTTTAGAATTATTGAGGTGCGATCTGTTCGTGCCAGAGTATAACCTTTGTGATCACAAAGCTCTGAGTGTCTGCATTGCTTGCAGTTATAACTACAGAGTATTGTATAATGCCTGGCATTTAGGCACACACATTTTTGACAAGTAAATAAAAAAAGTAACGAATTCATAAATTAGATCCCTCATTTGTCAACCTGTTGGCACATCACAGAATTATGGTGCCGGTACTGATGGAATAATGACATAAAGTTTGTATGGCAACTATTATTTCCAGTGACACAGGTGATTCAGGACAGAGTTAAAGTAATTAAGGCACCTGGCTAACTGAAATGTTTAAGAAATTAGGCATCTTCTGAGGTGAGTAAAATAGTTTCAGTGACTTGGAATTATTTTAAGCCTATGTATATACAAAGTTTGCTCTGTTCAGCTTTTTATGGATACCAATGATCTGTAATATTTAGCATATATTTGAGTCAAACCACAGACAAATTCTGTTTGCTAATTAACGTCTCGACAACCTGTTGATGAACCAGTTTTAACAGTTTTTTTAAGCAAAGCATACACCCAAAAGAAAATTTTTCCTAATCTAGAATTTGAGAAGTATTATGAAATGCAGAGCTTCAAAGTAAATATTGACACATTTGAATTCTGTCACAGAGTTCATAGTCTTGCCTTGAGAACTGTGTTTTCTTAATGGTTAATTACCAGCTTAAATAGATGTCTATCTGATAATTTTCAGTAGCTAAAATATCAAATTTCAAAGCTTTACTTCTGTTACTATGGAAAGCAGAAATTTACCCTGAAACAACAGAATGCGTGTAAGAAACATTTCTTAATACAAAAGCTGAATTTGGATTTTCATACTTTATATTGACAATAGTAAGAAATAAATGCCTAGTTTTTAAGTACATTTGCATTGCCTTCCTGCTCCGATGGCACAGTGGAGCATTTGTGAGAGAGACTGTCTAACCCGCAAAGCCTAACTACTGGCTGCTACCTTTTGCAGGAAAAGTTGGCCACCCCCTACCTTAGAATAAGTAAATGATTGTAGGAAGTAGATATTTATAATTTGAAGGTTAGAATAAGTAAATGATTGTAGGCATTAGATATTTATAATTTGAAGATAGGTTTTTTTTAAGTATTCTTCATTTACACCCAAAGATGGAACTGTTTTTTTTAAAGTCAGTAGGGTTCTCTAGGAACTTTGGTTATAGATTAGGATTCTGTATATCAAACACAAAACTTTTTTAACCTTTATTAATCCAACACTTTTTGATGGTTGAATAGAAAGAACAGTGAGGGATTGAAAATATACTTTCATATCAATTCTGACTAAATCTAGATGCCAATTTAAGGACATGTCATATGAGATTGAAATCCTGTGTTAAGTTACATGATCAGATTGCCAAAATGTCTGCTATGTGGGAGTGCTTCATTCGCTTCAAAATCCTCCTTTGTTTTCCTTAGCAGCAGCAAGACTGCTTTTACTGCCGAATGTATTTGTTTATTCCTGCCTTAATTTCTTGCAGACCTTGGCTGTAAGATAATTGCTATTAGTGAACTGGAGCCTTTAAACGAAAATGGCATTGAAGCACTCTAAAAACATTTAGATTGTTAGTTCCATAGTGGGATACTATCAGATGATTGAAATTATATTCCTCAAACTTTGTAAATAATTAAAAAATATATCATAAAGTAGATTTATTATTGTATTTTCCCAACATTTATTAATTCTCCAAGTCACCTCAGAAATAGATGATGTATAAATTCAATATGAAAATCAGCAAAGGTGCATTTTTTTTTTTTCATAACTTGAAACATCTAAGGCTCTTACGATCAAGGTAAAACATGTAATAGATACAGACTTACTGCTTTCTATACTCATATTATTTACTGTCTTAACAGATGGTTTGCTAGACCAGGAAAGACAGAGAAAACTTCCACCAAAGAACAATCAGTTGGATTGAAGTCTTTAAATTCCCTTTGGTAATATCACCACTTTTGCAAAGATTTTTATTTCTTTTCAAATTCCCTTTATCTTGTTGCTTCTTTAACATCTCCAGTGCTACTGGAGGTAGAGGCACAGAAATAGGAGGTTTGATAGAAAAGGGAATAGGAGTAAGGAAGTGTTTACACCAAAATAAATATGAAGATGGTACATGAGAAATGTCTTTTATATCCTAGATCTGGGTACATTAGGGAAATATTTAAGTATTTGAAAGTTCTTTTATAAACTAATATTTAAAAAATTTATTAATTATCTCAATATTGACTTTTATTACATAGTATTTAAAAATATATGTGTAAGTAAGATTTTATATGTATACTAGAGGCCCATGCACAAAATTCGTGCAAGAGCAGGCCTTCCTTCCCTCGGCTGCTGGCACCACTTCCCTCGCTCCCAGGACCTGGGCTTCTCTCGCAGCCTGGCTTCATCTGGAAGGTCATCCAGAAGGACCTTTAGCATATTACACTTTTATTATTATAGATATTTATATATAATTATTGTAAATATAAATTACATATAACATATTTGTATGTATACATATATAGGTAATATTTTGATTATATTATTGAAA